TGATGTTTTATAGTGATAGAAACCATAAAAATTATTGAGAAAATATTTGAATAACTTAGGAAATTTTGAGTTGGAATTTCAACACTTTGTGAAATTGATATATTGTAGGATTGTGTAATTGAGTTGTGAAGTGTTTGTATGAGTTGATTATAGGATTGTATGGTGTGTGGGAATGTTGAATTGAATTGAAAACCTTGGTGTATGCTTCCATGAAGATTTCGGTCATTGTAGGGCATATAGGGTTTGATGATGCAAAAATTATGTAATAGATGTTGTGTGAATATGAATGGTATTTAAATAGGTTGTGTGTTGAGTTGATGCATTGAATTGGAAAGAAAAGTATGAGGTGATGTGTGTGCGTGGGCAATTCGGCCAAGAAGGGCAAAATTAAGGGAAAATGGTGCTATGATGGTATGGCATGGAATTAAGGACTTTAAACGGTGATGTGAGAAGCTTAGGAAGCTAATAGAACATTGAAATGAAATTGAGAAAAAGATTTGGTAATTTTAGGCCATATGGTTGAATCTATACATGTGGGGGGTGGACTTTGGTGCTTTGTGATTAGTCGGTTACACCTTGGATTGATGATCCTTGTGTGATTATTGTAGATTGCCTCCCATGGACTTAAACTTGGAGCATTGAGCTTGGTGGGTTGCCTTTGGTCCTTGACCAAAATGATTGTGGTAAGTAATTATATAAATATGCATGAATACTGGGATAATCTGTATATGTCTTGGTTGATTATAATTGTAATGGAAATGGCCTATGTGTAGGCATTGCTTGTTGGATCAAGCTCGGTGGTAATGTGAATTGGAGCTACCAAAAGAGGGAGTTTTCATAAGGTAATCCTTTGTTATTGGGGTTTAGTCCTCATCTGTGCTCCACCATGCCCCTTGGGGGTAGTGGTTGGAGGTGTATGTTAATGGTATATTATAACATATTCATACATTATTGTATGTATAGTGGTACATATGATGTACCGTGTCTTTGGCCAGTAGACTGTTGCCTTCGGGTGTTACGGACTTCCATTGGATATATCTCCGTGAAGGAGTTCCAGTTGACCTGGGGTCATAGTGTGTCATCCATTGAGTAGCACTCTAGGAAAGTCTCGGGTGTATATGGATGGAGGATGCCTTGATTGATGTTCTGAGAACACTTCCTAGGATGAGAACCTGTAGGCTATATGTCGAGGCAATAGGCCGATGTTGCGTGGCTTCGGCATCGACCATTCCAGCTTCATCGTATTTTTACTCCCTATGCTTCCCTACTTCACTAAATCCCTTACTTTATCCCTTTTTGGTTGTTGTAATGTATTATTGATATGCATTTGAGTGAGCCATTGGGCAGAGTAATCTCCATAACCTATGGGTTACTAAGATATATCCGTATATCTCACCCCATTTTGGAGACTTTATTTCAAGTAGTAGCAGTGGGGCAGGAGCTTCGGGCAAGAGGCCCGTATGATGAGCTTATGGACATAGAGCTATTTTGCATTTTGAGGCCACTTGGCCTAGGCTAGACTTAGGACATGAACATTGTATGTTGATTTAGTGTATGTTGATTTAGGATTATTCATATTGTCATCTTTGTTCATGTCATATTTTGTCTAAGTTTAGTTGATGATTACCATGTTTTATTTGAGGAATTATTATGTTGTAATTGGAGATTTAAATTGTATTATGTTTCATTGGAGAACTTGTAATTTGTAATATTTGAACCTTGTGTAATATTGAAGTATGCCATATGATGAAAGGGAAATATGCCTATTTTATGATTATGATTATGCGTATGTTTAAAGATGCATGCAAATGGATTAATGTGATTGAAATAAGTTCAACTTTGAGAAAGTAAGCATGAATTATATATATTGAGTAAATGGACATTAAATGTTAAGGGTTGTAAGAGAACCAAGACATTGCTAGTCCTTGAGTGCCACCCGTGTCTATTAGGTACCCTTGATGATAGATAACACACTTTTGATAAAGTGGGATAGGTTGGAAAAACAAAGGAGATGTTGGTGAAATTTCTATAAAATGGCACATTTTGGGTGAACTTTGGGAGACCGTATCTCCCTCCACAGAGGTTTAATAAGGACGTGCCATACACCATTTTGAATATTGAGATGTCAACTACATTGTGTCAAAATTTTAGAACTATTGGAGTAGTACGCAGACCTGTAGAGGCATAAGAGTGAGGACTGTCCACAAATCCCCTGCACTTGGGGCTGTCAAAACCTATTTTTGGGAAATATTTTCCCACCTCAATTATTAGTCAAATTAGGCCCATGATATGTAAAATTTAAGCTTAAGGTGTTTAGTTTACTTTATAAAAATTTGAGAGAAATTGGTGGAGTGGTTTGTCCAGAATCATTGAAAGAGTGAGGGCTGTTTGGAGCCCTGTTTGAGGTTGGTTGGTAGTTTTTCTTGTCCAACCTCAAATGGTGATAACCGGAGCAAACGAGAATTTTTTGGAGCGTGTGATAACTTGTTGGAAATATAATTAAGTCTAGAATAACATACTAAAATATGATAGGTTCGTGACAAGCGGATTTTCTATAGTATCCAAAGTACTGAACCATATTCAGATAGATAAAAATCGTAAAAGTGAGATTTTGGCTAAGTGAGTTTATGGGAATTCCTTAGTGACTTGAGAGAAGTATTATATGATAGTTAGGCATTTGTTTTAATTATTCAGCGTTTAATTTTCAGTTATAATCACAGTTTTTATTCATTACGCTTTATTATTGTTTTAAATGCTCGCGTAATGAAAAGGAAAAAGTTTACTCGCATTTTTATAAATAAATTGCTGTGAGTATAACTGCGCTTAGTATCATAATTAATGTTAACAATACCAGTACGTAACAGGCTGTTACACATTCAGACATTGTGCGTTGGATTTCTTCTTGAGGAATAGGACATATAGCAAGGCTATATAATTTATCAGGTAAGCCAAGCTAGTTTTCCTCCCAAAATTTCACAGATTTTCCATTTCCTACTTCCCATCTCATTCCATGAAGAAAAACGACCCAACATTTGCCCAATCCCTTCTAGAGAGGGGGTTTAGTGGGTTTCACACATATTCCACAATTAAGATCTCTGTCCCGACCATATTTTCCAATTATAATACAGGCCCAAACAATGTTATAAAAATTGGCTTGAACCGGCCAGTTCAAACTGTAAACTGGTGAACCGATCAGGTAACCAGTTCGAGTTGCTTAATGGATCATATATGATGTAGAACCGGTGTGAGCCGGTATAAACCGGTATGACTCGATCGATTTTCATGAAATTCGGTGACCTGCTGGTTTGAAAAAATTGGATGCAATATATGATTTTGAAAGAAAAAAAGAAAAAGGTATAGATCTGGCTCCATCTTGCTTCTGCATCTTCATCCATATAATGAACGACACTGGATCTCACGACGGACAACAACAAAGGATTGCTATGGCGAATTTAAGCGGTGGGTGGTGGATCTAGGCACTGTGGTTGCGAACAGGGATAAAGATTGCTTAAGAAGTAATGGATAAAACTCACAGCAAACAAAGTTATATTGTAGACAAACTGGTTTTTTTTTCTTTGCGTGACCGATATAGAGGCTAGGTTTGATTGGTTGATATTCTCCTTTGGGTTAGAAGGGGCTGCGGTCAATGAAAAATTTTAGAGTTTGGAAAGAGGATGAGAAATAGAGAGGCATTTGGCCTTTCCTTTCCTTTTTTTGTTTGTAGTGAGTGATTTAACGATTTATGGGCTGGGTAATTTATGTTTGAAGCACATAAACCATTAATAATTTATTTGTTTGAAGTGATTTATTATAAGCCAAATAAGTCTTATTGATTTGGGTCTTATGTTTTAAGTCCATAAATTAGTTACGAAAAAAGCCCATAAATTAAAATGGTGCAGATTTGTAATAAATCAAGGCCTAAATTCGGAAATTTAGCCGGTTTATGCGATTGAACCGGTGACCTATCGGTTGAACCCGTGATCCGATGCTCTATTTGATTCAATAACCGAGTCGAGTTTTATAACACCAGGTCCAAAGGTCATGAGGTTTAGATAAAAGATTCCAAGCCATTTTATGCATAAAGGCTTCGTTATGCATTCAAAGATTGATTACACCTAATCCACCAAGAGCACACGATTAACAAATTTGGTTCCAAGCCGCAAGATGGGTTCAACTTTGCCTGACAGTGTCACCTTATAGGAATTTTCTTCGCATTCTTTTTTCCACTTCATCACATATTGTTAATGACTTTGTTTTAGGATTTTTTTTTTTTAAAAAAAATCAGTATATTTAGAAAAATTTATTTTTCTATTACAAGGGGAATTTTTTTTCAAAATATTATGTATTTTTTTTTCTAAATCTCAAAGTCACTAAATCCTTATATATATATATATATATATATATATATATATATATACATATATATATATATATATATGGGTTTGGTGTTTGTCATTTTAAGAGAGAGAGACACAAGGAATGAAAATCATGGGAGAGAAAGTGAGTAATTTTTTTTAACTTAAATTTTAAATAAAAATATAGTTTCTTGTGTTTATCTCTCTTAAAATGACGAATATATATATATATATATATATATATATATATATATATATATATATATATATATCATTGAAAATGTTTATTTTATTGATCTAATCGTTCAGTATAATTATTTATCATCTTAATGGCTTTTGTCACTTATAAAATTTGATTAAAAATAATAATATAATCAGATAATTAATATTTTCATATTTTAAAAGTATATATTTCGGGAGGTATAGATGGGCTTGACCATAGCATTCAATTAATATATTCCTAACCCAACCCAATGAATGCTACTGTTAACGCTCCTACCGTTGCATTTCTGTTTCTCTCTCTCTTTTTGTTCCCTTCTCACTCCTACGACTACGATTAGAACTAGAAGAATCTGGTACGTTGAGTCTCTCTCTCTCTCTTTCTGTGTATCGCCAAATATCTATGGTGGGTCTCTCATTTCTTTCTCTATATAATTAGCATCGAACTGTAACTCTTTAACTCTCTCAAATCACTCATGTATTTCTGTTAGCGGAGAAACGACGCCGTATCCAGATCTCATGGTTTGCGTTTTTCTTCTTCTTAATTTTGTAGGAATTTTGGATCCCTCTACCCGTCGTGCTTTCGTTTTGATTGAATTGTTTTGTGGTTTTTTTTTTTTTTTGGATATCTTTTTGCTGTTACCATGTTGGGTAGTTTTGGGTTTTTGTCGTTTACATAAAAGTGTAGTTTCATAGGTTATCGTTCTTGTTCTCGTCGTTTAATTTGATGATTTTGCTATTATGGATTGTGGGTAGGACCCATAATTTAGTTTTGTGATCTGCTTCTGGCTTTTTCATAAGGCTGATCTGTGTTACAATAAATGGATCTGATTTGAAACCCTTGATGTTATATGCTTGAGTTTGGGTACCTTAATATGAAATTTTTACTCTTATGTAGATTTGGTACTGAATGCATCACTGTTGGATTTAGCTAAGATTCGAAGAACACTTTTGAACATCTTTTGTTGTCTTGTATTCAAGGAAATGGAGTTAAAACCCTTCATATGTTGGGTTTTCATTTCTGTCATTGTCTTTGCTCAAGTTAGCAATGGGTTTTATCTGCCTGGAAGCTATATGCACACTTATTCTGATAAAGATCCTATATATGCCAAAGTTAATTCATTGACCTCTATTGAAACTGAGCTTCCCTTCAGCTACTACAGCCTCCCTTACTGCCCGCCCCTTGGTGGCATAAAGAAAAGTGCTGAGAATCTTGGAGAACTCCTTATGGGTGATCAGATTGATAACTCACCATACCGTTTTCGGATGAATTTTAATGAGACAATCTACCTCTGCACGACATTGCCGTTGAATGAGCATGAGGTTAAGCTACTCAAACAAAGAACGCGTGATCTGTATCAAGTGAATATGATCCTTGACAACTTGCCAGTTATGAGGTATACTACTCAAAATGGGGTTAAAATCCAGTGGACAGGGTTCCCTGTTGGGTACACTCCATCCGATGGTGGTGCTGCTGATTACATCATTAACCACCTCAAGTTCACTGTCTTGGTTCATGAATATGAAGGAAGTGGGGTTGAGATTATTGGAACTGGGGAGGAAGGTCCAGGTGTTATTACTGAAGCTGACAAGAAGAAGGCTTCTGGATATGAAATAGTTGGTTTTCAGGTTGTCCCTTGTAGTATTAAATTTGATCCTGAAGTCATGACAAAGCTTCACATGTATGATAATGTCTCTGCTATAAGCTGCCCAAATGAGCTTGACAAGTATCAAGTAATAAAAGAGCAAGAAAGGGTATCATTTACATACGAGGTTGAGTTTGTGAAAAGTGATATAAGATGGCCATCACGCTGGGATGCTTATTTGAAGATGGAGGGTTCTCGAGTTCATTGGTTCTCGATCCTGAATTCACTTATGGTTATTTTTTTCCTTGCTGGTATTGTGTTTGTTATTTTCTTAAGAACTGTAAGAAGGGACTTGACAAGGTATGAGGAATTGGACAAAGAGGCACAAGCTCAGATGAACGAGGAGCTTTCTGGATGGAAACTTGTGGTGGGTGATGTATTTAGGGAGCCTGATTGCTCAAAGCTTCTCTGTGTGATGGTTGGAGATGGGGTTCAGATTCTTGGAATGGCTGCTGTTACTATTGTGTTCGCTGCACTTGGTTTCATGTCACCAGCATCCAGAGGAATGCTACTAACAGGGATGATCATTTTATACCTTATCCTGGGAATTGTTGCTGGCTATGTCAGTGTACGTCTCTGGAGAACCATTAAGGGAACTCCAGAAGGGTGGAGATCAATTTCCTGGTCTGCTGCATGTTTTTTTCCTGGAATTGCTTTCATTATTCTTACAGTACTAAATTTTATTCTATGGAGTAGCAACAGTACTGGGGCTTTACCAATTTCGTTGTATTTCGAGCTGTTCTTCCTCTGGTTCTGCATTTCAGTACCCCTTACCCTCATTGGAGGATTTATGGGGACAAAAGCTCAGCCAATTGAATATCCTGTGCGGACTAATCAGATTCCAAGGGAAATTCCTGCACGTAAATATCCATCATGGCTTCTTGTTCTTGGTGCTGGAACTCTTCCATTTGGAACCCTCTTCATTGAGCTTTTCTTTATTCTTTCCAGTATTTGGCTTGGGAGGTTCTATTATGTGTTTGGTTTTCTTTTGGTTGTTCTTCTCTTGCTGGTTATTGTTTGTGCTGAAGTGTCAGTGGTCCTCACCTACATGCATCTCTGTGTGGAAGATTGGCGGTGGTGGTGGAAGGCATTCTTTGCTTCAGGTTCTGTTGCTCTATATGTCTTCTTGTACTCCATTAACTACTTGGTTTTCGACCTGCAGAGTTTGAGTGGACCTGTCTCAGCTACCCTTTACCTGGGTTATTCACTACTCATGGCAGTTGCCATCATGTTGTCGACTGGCACGATTGGCTTCCTTATGTCATTCTACTTTGTTCACTACTTGTTCTCATCAGTAAAGATAGATTGAGGTTCTTAATGTTATCTCTCATTAACTAAGCAAAAGATCAAATTGATATAACTTCATCTGCTGAGTTCTTTTTGTAAGTCTAGCTTGATTGCGTCGCAGAATTTTAAGTGGGGCAACGGATGCTTCATTGATTGCCTTATATAGTTGTTATCCATTTTATACTGCAATGTGATCTGTAGTTTGTTCCCCTTCAAACTGTCTCCCAAAGTAGTTTACTCATTCAAGTACTCAACTAGTGTTTGAGCTCATTATGTTTCAAGTACTTCAGTTTAATTAAGTTGCTTTAGGAAGCTATAGTTGTTCAAACTGTCTCATCTAATTTCAGTACTATAGAAAAATGTTAGATGGATACTTTCAGATTTCGTTGTGATTTTCACTGTGCTTCTGGGTTTTCAATTTTTAAGTTTTCTTAGCATTCAAGGGAAGGGAAAGTGACTTGCTGTTACACTATTAAAAGGACTTTATTTAAACTTAATTGTCCACAATCTGGGCTTTGTATTATACTATTGTTTCATTTTTATTTATTTTATTTTATAGCCGGCTGCTTGTAATTTTGAGTCAATATTCTTCTGGGTATGGAAAATGTTAAATATATGTAGAATTGCTATAGCACTCAGCCTTACGTCTATTAAAACTGAGTTCAACTTTTTGGTATATTATACTTAGCCATGGTTTTTTTCGACAGAGTTTAGTACATGGCTAGATTATAATGCATGTAGCGCAAACTTTTTTTGGCAGTATTGTAAATAATCCGTAAGATACTTAAAGGTGAGTAGCAGTTTTTCTTTAGGGATGCAGTTCAGTCTAACATTTTGACTGGGTTGTTTCTCCAATTCCTTCTTAATAAATTTTATTGGTATAAAATTTTATCTTGCTGATATATTCTATGGAAAGAGAAGAGAAAAAACAAATGAATGTGTGTTGAAGCATCCGATCTCAAATCTCAAATATGTTTGCATTTACAGGGCTTGTGGTTCACTCCTAAAAGGCTACACTCGTATGTAGAGAGTAATTTCTTTAATAAAAAATTATAATCTTTTCACTACAAAAAAATTGGTGTTTAGACGTGGCTAAATTGCTTTAAAAGCGTGGATAATAAGAGCAACCACACCTTTTACGAAGTGACTAATTGTGGCATAGCAATATTTTAGTCATATTTATTGTTTTATTTGGCCACATTTTATTTGAGTGTGGTAACAATTGTTTAGTTAGGGTTATTAGTTATGTTTAGCATGGTTTAACCATGGCTATGTTAATGAATTTTTTGTTAAAAAAAAAAAATTACATTCACCTTGTGGCTAAATTCACATAATTGAAAACCAACAAAAAGGAATAAAATTTAGGGGGGAAATGGATATAAATATCATTAAATGTAACTTCAATAATGATTTGTTTTATCTTATGAAGTGACCTAACATCTATAAGACTGACCCTTAGAATTTATAAACACTTGTAAAATTATTCTAAGTAAAAATGGATCACTTAGAATTTACAAATAGTTGAGTTATATCTTTTTAATAAGACTAACCCTAGTCACCATTTAAGATAGAACGAGTCTAGTCATTGATAAGGAGACCATCGAAAAAGGCAAAAGATTTTGTAGAATCCAAAGACTCCCCTAATGCCTGCATGTATCAAAACAAAATAAGTGATGGCGGATCTTCCAACAGCTTGTACTAGAAAAGAAAGATACCAAAAAATTAAAAATTACTATAATTATTAAGGCAGAGTGACTAATATAATAGAACCAAATATAGGCCAATTTACTATCTCAAACCAGCATATTCTAAACACAACTTCCAAAACGGAAAGAAAGATAATATATAGTCAGCTCCTTTGCATAATTGCAGACACGATCATCCTGCAATTGCTTGGTTGGGGTCTAGGAGCTGTTCATAAAAATATATTCCTGGCAAGAAATAAATATACATGTTAGCATGAATATATTCCTTCCGACACTTCAAAATCAGCAGTAAGTGCCTGCATTTGAGTGGAGCAGAACATACACCTAGTTAATAACACAGCTTCAACATGAGTTTCCATTTTATCCACAGTTAGTGTAAACATTTTACAATATTAATGAACAAGTACCAATGAACATAAAGAATTTTTTTATATGTTACAAACTCCATGACATGAAAATATAGTCAGAAAAACATCAGTGGAAAATGTAAACAAATGCATAAAACTAGGATTACCAAAAAAAAAAAATGCATAAAACTAGAAAACTGAAACGAGCAACAGTATTATAAATCCAAAGGGAGGTAATATTTATCCTTAAATATTGAACGGAATTGACCATGGATCTCAATGACCAAGAATTGCAAATTGACATGGTAAGTAATTGTAAAATATCTAGAATATCCCAAAATTTCAAATTATTTCAAAATTTAAAATCAAATAAATTGTATCTTACTCAAACCAATAAAAATACCTGAGGTTATAGTTAAAGCTGGCCATCAACTGCTTCATGGAAGACAAGAATCTTGCACAAAATGAGTCAGTGACACTTTTAAGTACTTAAAATAGTTAGAAATGGAAAGACTAAGTACTCAAAATAGTATGATTGGTTACTGTGAGCGCAACCAATCATACTATGTAACTTTTCTACCATTCATATAATAAATGAAAAATACACAAACCAATTAGGTTGCTTACTGGTTGTATTATGATTCCACCTGCATCGTGACATCCAATACAAGTTTGACTAAACAATGAAGCTCCTCACTATGTAAATTATTTTGTTGAAAAATAACATACAACAATGCATATACATGTTGAAATCTGTTGAGATATATAGTCCCACATTGGTTGTATGTGCAACTAATGTGGAGTTTATAAGGCCTTGGGCACTCCCACCCTTTGAGCTAGCTTTTGGGGTGGTGTATCCCAAGGTTCTTAACTTGGTATCAGAGCCTCGCCGCCCCCCACTTTCTCTTGTGGCGTTTCTTAGCACAAGTAGGCTGGGCCTGTTGCATTGTCCACTCTTCAAGCCCAATGGGCTCTTGTGTGAAGGGGCGTGTTGAGATATATAGTCTCACATTGGTTGTATGTGCAACTAATGTGGAGTTTATAAAGCCTTGGGCACTTCCACCCTTTGAGCTAGCTTTTGGGGTGGTGTATCCCAAGGTTCTTAACTTTATCCATAAGCACTATTATTTATTAACGTGCTTCCAAGAGTAAATGCAAACATCCAACTTAGGTGACAAACTTGCCTCGCCTCAATCTCAGTCTGAAATTTCCTTGCAGCCATGCCAAATGTAGTAAATATAGTAGTACCATTTCCATACCGTTGGAGAAGTGTTAGGGGTAACCTAACAGAGAGACAGGAACTGAAGAACAATCAAGAAGTTGTATTATTTTCGTGTGTCCAATTTGTACAAACGAGTTCTATTTTATACCGCAAAGTTCACTAACTAACTCCCTAACCAACTCAACCAACTAACTAACTGATCGTTTACTGTTACATTACTCAAGCTACAAAGTCCTTGAGTATCACAGAATGTTGCTTCACTCTTTTAGATGCTCTATGTGTAACAATACCCTCCTCTTCAAGAACAACCTTGTCCTCAAGGTTCAAATCTGGATAACACCGACGAAACTCTTCTTCTGATTCCCAAGTTGAATCTTATGGTAATGCAGGTGTCCATTGCACCAAAAATTGGCGTTGAGGAACCCCCTTTTCTGAGGTCATCTGAGCTGACAGTATAGCCAAAGGAGTTTGTACTGGTTTTTTAGCAACAGCAGCTGCGGGTAAAGGCATAGGTTGGGCATCCAGGCTTCCTCTAAACGGTTTGAGCAAGGAAACATGAAAAGTTGGATGAATTTGGCAATTTGGTGGCAGTTGTAACTGGTAAGCAACATTTCCCAGCTTCTTCTCAATGGAATAAGGACCAAAGTATCGTTTAGCAAGCTTATGACTAGCACGTCTTTCCACAGTAACTTGCCTGTAAGGCTGGAGTTTAACCCATACTAAGTCCCCCACTTCAAAAGAACTTTCCTTCCTATGTCTATCACTTTGTATCTTCATTCGATTCCGAGCTTGCTGCAATTGAATTTTTAAACGAGAAAGAATCTCATCTCTTTGTCCCAAAAGGAATTCTACTACCTCTACCTTGGTTAATCCCCTGGGAAGGTGAGGTATCTGCACTGGTTTCTTTCGAAGTACAGCCTCAAATGGACTCATACTAATACTAGAATGTACACTCGTATTGTAATGAAACTGAGCCCAACCAAGTAACCCAGTCCAGTCCTGTGGTTTCTCATGACAGAATGATCGCAGGTATTGTTCCAAGTAGCGATTGGTTACCTCTATTTGACCATCCGATTATGGATGGTACACTGAACTAGTGTGCAATTTTGTCGCACTCAACTTGAACAACTGGGACCAGAATTGGCTGACAAAGATAGGATCCCTATCTGTCACTATGGAACGCGGGAATCCATGTGCATAAACTACTAGTTCATAAAACAGCCTTGCCACAACAGCAGCTGTGAAGGAACGAGGCAGAGAGCCAAAGTAGGCAAATTTGGAGAGCATATCCATAATAACCACAATGGTAGTGTGACCTTTTGATGATGGAAGTCCCACAATGAAATCCATTGACAAGTCTTCAAATATGCCCTCAGGAATGGAAAAGGGCTGCAGCAAACCACTTGGTTTAGAGGCTTTATATTTTACTTGTTGGCAAACAATGCATTGCCTAACAAAGTCCTTCACATCTTGTCTCGTAGAATTCTAATAGAATGTGGCAGAAAGTCTCAAGAAAGTCCTTAGCACACCTGCATGCCCTCCAACTAGTGTGGAATGAGCCTCTTGGATGAACAAGGGAATCAAGGATGAAGAATGACTGAGTAAGAGTCTGTTGTTATGAAACAAAACTCCATCCCTCACAGTCAAGTGGTTATCTGTGTTGGGATTGCTCTTCAACTTCTCATGGCATTGCAGCAAATAAGAATCCTCAGGATTCTGTTTTTTAATTTCTTGCAAAACATCAAAGACAGGTTCTGAGAATAGAGCATTCACCATGCTATTTTCTTGCACTCTTTATAAGGCATCCGCTGCAACATTATTAATACCAGCTTCGTATTCAATTGAAAAAGTGTAGCCAAGCAACTTACACAAATACTTTTGCTGCTCTGTAGTTTGAATTGTCTGATTAAGCAACTCCTTGAGGCTCTTGTGGTATGTCCTT